GGAGAAGAGTCGCCATCGTTTGTTATTTATCCCAAAGAGAGGGAAAGGAAACGATCAGCGAAAACCTACGAAAAAGGGAATAAGACAGGTCATCGCAACCAAATCTCGGGTTCGGGAGTCGGTTATGCAAGGGGAAGATATTAGCACCCCTCACGTCCGTCGTACTCGACAGGATCCATGCTTGTTGTCTAGTCTATAAGGGTGTAAATCTATCTATGCTAAATGCTCGCGAGGGGGGAGGGAAAAAGAAAAGAAATGAGACTCGATAGAGCATCGCCGCTCTATGCCTACGTATTCCCCCGTGCAATGGGAAGGCAAGGTTACAACCACTGGGGTGGCGATACATCTGTTGTATCATGCCACCCCATTTGAATATGTACCAAATCAAATGTGCAGGTTGGGCAACTTCAAAGCAAAATCAAGTGAAAGAACTCCAAAACGATTTCTTCATAACTCTTTCAAATCTTATGAAATAAAAGTCTATCCTGCTTGATTTTTCATGAGGATTGCAATGCTATCAACCATATTTTCAAATGATGCTAACAGTGAAAAACATGATTGCTCACGCATAATAGAACTTTGAAATGCACTTGTGGAGTTATGGGCCAAAACATATGAGATTAAGAATAAGCAAAGGTCTGCACATGTTTCAAATATCTTACTTATGATTGTGCTCAAAGAGCTAAGCTCAAATCCTCATTGAATCACAAAATGGATGTCAAATTTTAGTGAAAGTGGTTTTAAAAGGATTATGCAGTATTATTATAATGTTAGAGCAATGCACAATGGCAGCAGCCACATCTCAATCCAAAATTCCATATAGTGAAGCACTCAATAAATATCACTACCACAGCTAGAAAATGCAGCCCTACATGCCAACAGAGATTGATCCAATCCTCAAGATAATGAGCTGGCAGCAAATTGACAAAACAACCTCAGCCTAGACCTGAGCTATCTTTAAGTGAATTCCAAAAGATCAAATGCAAAGCTGAATCCCAAATGATGAACCCCCCCCAACAGAACCAATGCCAGCAAACTTTAGTATGTCAACAAGGCTTGAAAATTCAACATGTCATGAACTTCAACAGAACCATGGTAACAACCCTCTCTTCATCTCATCAGAGCAAATCAGCAGAGAAAAAACTACTAGCCTCAATTATCCTACCTGAAACAACTCTTACTAAACTACTGGTTAAACAGTAGCAGAGTTCACACTAGACTCCTTCAACCAGCCAACCAAAACAACATGCCTCTCATGACAGTTCCAATACAAACCTATCCAAAATGTGGGAACTGAATACAAAATCCATTCAAAAACTTCATGACAGTGCTAAATGGTCTATGTCAAACTAAACTCAAACACTAATCACTCATTGTTATCAAACACATTAAGGCAAATTTCAAATCAAACTCTAGTGTAAGTACTGAATCTAAACAACCAACAAGAGTCCAAAAAGAAACTGGTTTTAGAAAATAGAATTAACAACACAACTTTATATGATAATGCCCTCATGTGAGTCATTCACACAAACACACAGGGTGGACAAAATTACTCAAGGGCTAGGAGTCCAACATAATAGTTGCAAATTCCAAGAAATAAGAGTGGCAGCTCTGGTTATAACAATGTACTCATCAAACACTAAGTATAAAGGCATGATAGTGTACTAGTGAAATTACTAATGGCTTGACCACAATCTTGGCCTGAGTTTAATCAACCAACATCAACAACACTTTCCTCCAAAACTCAAACAAGCCAAGAACCCGACTAAGTCCTATCACCCTAACTCTCTAACCCTATTTCAAACATGATAAACATGTTCAGCAAACCTGATGCCTCTAACATACACCCCTCATGCAGTAGGATAACTGAACTAAACAGTCAAAACCCTCATTAACATAAATCTGCTTCCTGTTGCAAACCAATACTCTTAGATGGCAACCATATCATGAACCTATTCTTAAAAGGAAGGACCAAACTCTGATAACAGCTGAGCCTGAGTTGGCAAACTCTGTTCAGACATTGACATCAAAACCTTAAGTCCTTAAAACAACCCTTACTTGGTCTGCCAAATCTGTTCCAAAAACAACAGCATAAACCCAACCACCTGCTAGAAACCTACACCTGAGTTGAAAAATCAGTTCCCAAGCACAGTCATGACAACAAAGAACCAATGCTGAACAATGTCAAGATTAACTTAAACCAACCAACTAAATTCTAACAGCAGCTACATATGCAAACAAGGGACTCCAATGATAGTCACAATGCAAACCTCACAAGCTAGACAAATCCAAATTAACTTCACCAATGATGACTGTCAAACATAGCAATGTTCAATATCAAAGCATCTAGCCTAAATCTCTCTTGTTGACAGTTTTCAAACAGTTTTGGTGGTTAAATTGACAGAACAATGCCAAGAGTCTAAATCATGTATACAAATAGCATACCTTCACAAAGGTAAAAACAAACACAAACCACCTTAATGACATTCCAACATCTAATTCACATGTTATTGGTCTCATATATTTTGACAGCAAAGTTACAACTTTAGCATAGAAATATCAAAACACAATCCATTCACACATGATGTATAATGATGAGATGGTTCAAAGCTACATACCTCCAAAAAAAAAGCAAGCTAGCAGCCTTGAGTGAGCAAGATATCCCTCATTTGATACAAGTTTGAAGTTTCTTCCTCTTGAAGCAAAAATTGATTTTTGAGGACAGTTTGAGAAAAGGGATTTCTAGTTGTTCTTTAAGGATTTGGACAGTCGGTACAACATTAACGGATGGTGTTCAAGGTGTCAAAGAGTTTAGAACTGGTCTAGGCAGTGTGTTTTATCACTTTGTGTAGAAAAGTCAAACTAATGGGTGTGAGAAGTTGACTTTTGGTTTTGTGGTGTTTTTGACTGGTTTAGTGGTTGTAACACCTTCTAAACATGATTTATGGGTTGTGTGGATGATTTTTCAGGGTGGTTGGATGGTTGGAAAGGCTGCTGGTATGCAGTTTGACCAGGCAGTTTTTTTGATGAGAAGTTCACTTTCAAGCAAAGAGGAAAGAGTGAGGGCTATGAGTTTCTGGTTTTTAGAGAGCTCTGGTGTGTTGTATGCAATGGGAGGAAGCCTCTATTTATAGGCCATGAGAAGCATTGGGGCAGATTTGAAGTTTTGGCCTTTGGAGGGAGATTTTGGAAGAAAATCTATCCAAGATTGTATGGCGGCTGAGCATATCAGTTCCTTGGCTCAATGCGAGTCAAAAACTCAAGTGGAATGAAGGAAATGAGGTGATTGAAGTGAGCATAGAGTGTAGGGTACTGCAGCTGCAAGACTTTCCTCATAAAGTTTCTCTTTCCTCATTGTTTTCCTTGAATATTATATTGTCAACTTGCTTGCCACCTTGCAAAGCTCTCAAACTCTCATTATTTATGCATTTTCTAACCATGATACTCTCTAAATATCAGATTAATACATGATCCAATGGTTTAGAATAATCCAAGTGGCTGAAAAGTGAATTTGTGGAAAAGTTGAAATGGTGCATTCAAGTGTTGAAACCCCAACTTGCTGGATTCATAACTCTCCACTCATAAGGGCTATGGAGGAGTTCTAGTACTTTTGGAAATCCCTCATGGAGCTCTACAACTTTCATGTTTACATGATCTTCAGATTCCAAGTGGAACTAGGTCAAAAAGCCCTTCAAAGTTGGCTGATAACATGATTTGCAAGGCCAAAAAACTTAGAAATTTTCCAAGTGTTTTCCCCTCTTGTAATGATTTTGATCATAACTCCCAATCTACTCATTTTTTGCACATGGACCCCTGTGAGACTTTTGTAGGAATTGTCAAGACCTTTCCAACAAGCTTTGAACCACCTCAATTGGATGTGTGGTTATGAAGTTATGGTCTTGCCCCTTTCAAAACCTTAATTTCCGACTTTCTCGATTACTCCTCCATCCCTGATCCAATGGTCATGAAACTTAATGGATAGGTGTAATATGTCATTAGGAACATTTTTTCTTCACACTTTAAGGTCAAATTCCTTATGGTTGAAGAGTTGACTTTTTCACCGCAGGGTTGTTTTTTCCCTCAAATCTCCTGATTTTCAATTGACTGATCAATTGAAGCTCTTATGATTAAAGTTGATGGTAAATCTCTCATCCCTAAACACCTTAGGACATATGGAAGACCATGGAGACATGTCTTGCTCCCGAAAACAAATTTATCCTGATTAAAAGTGAAACCCTAATTTCACCCTTTTTGCCTAGGCAATGTGCAGATGAATTGAGTGACCATTCCCACTCCACAATGACCTCTGAGGTACTCAACAAGCCTCTACCAATGATAAATCTTCATGGACCCCTTTACAACCTTCTGATGGTTCCTTGATAATGCTGCGACACACCTCTCCTTTCTAGGAGCTCTGCCAATGCCTCTGCTTGAGCTTGTGGTAAATATGGCTCTCTTCTTGGATATGACACAAACAAATACTTGATCCCCTGTAAGAACTATGCTATGCAAATGCAAGATGCTAAAATAAAATGAAACATAAGCCAAAGATTAAAAAAAGAGGTTGGTCAAATTTTGGGGTACAACAATGGTATGCTGATATACTGCATTTGCAAAATGTATTTATTTGGTATGCATTAATTTGTTATGTATAACTTTGTTCTAGGTCATCTCAAACTAATGTAGTAAGATTGACATTTAATCATGGCGGTACATTACTTTATTATCCTTGCAAAATTTATGTAAATGGAAAGGTTGAAGAATTGAACTAGAAATGGGATACTGACATATTATCCTATATGGAAATTGAAGAAGTTGTCAAGAGTTTGGGTTATGTAAGATTCAAATGTCTTTGGTACCATCATCCTAAGTATAGATTTGAGTGTGGTCTTAAACCCCTGAATAATGACAAAAATGTTTTAAAATTTGCGGAAGATATCCCTGGTTATGAAAGTGCTAATGTATATATTGAGCATGTAGTAGATGAACCAGATGTTATAATGGAAGATGAATTAAAAGCTTATGTTGAACCTGTTCAAGAACTAATTAATATTGACTCTGACGAGACAAAAGATGTGCAAGCTGAGGAAAGGGAAGAAGTACAAGCTGGTGAAAGAGATGATGTGCAAGCTGAGGAAATGGATGAAGTGCAGGTAGAGGAAAGGGAAGAAGTGCAGGTAGAGGAAAGAGAAGAAGTGTAAGTCGAGGTAGAGGAAAATGGATATGTTAGCGAGGAGGATTCAATTTTAATCAGGAAGATAATGATGACTTGGGTGATATTGAATTCGATGACTTAGATGAAGATGTTGGGATTGGACACATGCAGTACCTAGGCATACCTTTGTGCAAGAAGAGAATGACAGGAACCAAGTGTCTTCAAATCAAGAACCAACAACAACTGATTTTAATGAAGGCAAACAAGTTGATTCATATGATCTTGATACTCCACAAGGAAGTGAAGATGAAGGTGACAAACATAGGTATCCAAAATTCAAAATTCTTGAAAGTGGGGAAGAAATGAGAGTTGAGCTAGGAATGGATTTTGCCACAAAGAATCTTGTTAGAGATGCAGTTACGTCTTATGCCTTAGAAAGGAAGAAAAACTTGCACTTCGATAAAAATGATAGCAAAAGAATAGTTGTAAAGTGTGAAAAAGAATGTCTATTTTATATGAGATTTTCTAAAAGGGTAGGCAACCATTTCTGACAGTTAGTAAGTCTAAAAGAAGATCACACATGTCATAGGATAATGAAGAATAGGCAAGCTAAAACAAAGTTGATAGCTAAGAAATTTATGCATATCATAAGGCATACACCAGAAATGAGCCCAAAAGGATCGATAACGCAGGCCTTTGAGAAATGGGGGGTGAAGTTGTCATTTGCTCAAGCATACAGGGCCAAAACAAGATCATTGGAACTAATTCAAGGAGCTTTTAGTGAGCAATATTCTCATTTGGGGAATTATGCCGGGGAAATCCAGGGAGTACAATTATAATTAAGTGTGGCATGTCTGACATTGGACCTGTATTTGAGAGAATATATGTCTGTCTAAGGGCTTGTAAAGCTACATTTGCAATGACATGTAGGCCTTTAATTGGACTTGATGCATGTTTCTTGAAAGGTGGGTATGGTGGACAATCAATGGCAGCTATTAGCGAAGATGAGAACAATCAAATTTATCCTATAACATATGTTGTGGTGGAAGCAGAGACACAAGACTCTTGGCAATGGTTTGTGGATCTATTTCTTGAGGATATGAATGGCATACTGCAAAAACCTTATTCATTCATTTCAGACCAACAGAAGGTAATTCATTAACACTTTTATATTAGTAATTCATTATTCTTTTATGTTTGTTGTTATCTAATTCATAGCTTTTGTAGGGTTTGGTACATGTTATTGAAACACTAGGCCCGAATGTAGAACATAATTTATGTGTTAAACATTTGTATGGAAACTGGAAGAAAAAGTATCCTGGTGGACACATGAAAGAACTACGTTGGTAGGCAGCTAGGGCGACAGTTGTACAAGATTAGGAGAGAGCCATGCAAAAAATAAAGGATATCAATGAAGCTGCCTGGAAAGACATGATGGAATTTCCACCGTCCATGTGGACTAGGTCTGCATACCGCACCAATAGTCACTATGATTTGCAAGTTAATAACATGTGTGAAGCGTTTAACATGACCATATTAGAGTACATTGACAAGCCCATTATTACCTTGCTAGAAGGTTTAAAGCATTACATCACAGTTCAAATAGTAAAGCAAAAGAATCTGATGAGTCGATTTAGAAGCATTATTTGCCATAAGGTTGAACAAGTTGTAAAAAAGTTAAAGCAGGCAGCTGGAGGTTGGAGTCCTACTTGGCATGGAGACGATGAATTCAATATATTCAGTGTAACAAATGGTATTGACACTTACGAGGTAAACCTACAACAACATTATTGTGCTTGTCGCAAATGAGCTTTGAGCGAGATTCCTTGTTGTCTCAACTGCGAAAAAGGGCCGGCAGAAACAAACAGAAGAGTTTCCACCGAACGTTATTTATCCCAAAGAGAGGGAAAGGAAACGATCGAAGAAAACCTAAAAGAACGGGAAAGACAAAGTCATCGCAACCAAATCTTGGGTTTGGGAGTCGGATACACAAAGGGAAGGTATGAGCACCCCTCACGTCCATTGTACTCAACGGGATCCCTGCTTGTTGTCTAATCTATGGGTGAGAGTTATCTAAAAGTTACTACTAAATGGGGGTGAAGAGAAAGAACAGACTCAATAGGACATCGTCGCCCTATGCCTCGTATTCCCTCGTGCAATGGGAAAGTCAGAGTCAATGTAGTTCGGAAAACTACGGGTGATGGGGAGAAGGTTGCTTGCCAAGATATCGATGTCTTATGCCTACATATCCTCATCTGGTATGAGAAATCAGAGCAAACATAGTTCGGGTAAACTAGACCACTGGTTGGTTAAGTTTTTTTTTTATGAGTGACGCTAAAATCCCATTCCAGCAGTTAGGAACGATGTCTGTTTGCGGTAGAACGGAAAAACAACGTACTCTTTTCTGAAAATGAAGTTTTAACAGCAATCTCAAAGGATAAAAGGTTTGTGTTTTATTTTGAGTTTTAGTGAAGTGGATTGAATTAGTTTGAGACTCACGTCACACTAAAGACTATGACACGAGAGAGAATGCGTCGCATATTGCCCAAAGGGCATACGCTAAACACTCTAGATAAGCAAGGAGAAACCCCTCACTCATTATTCCTGATGTTCTTAAGGCTCGTAGTGCACGACGCTTATCGTTCCTTATTAAGTGTCTTGAAGATATTTGAGATGAGAAAAGAGAGACGCACAGAAAGTTCTAGGGAAAACTGAATCCTAACTTGTTATCATACAAAGTGGCCCTAAAGTCAGGATTATGAGGAAAACCTACTTAATGTTGTCATGCTTGGATTGAAAACCTAATGTCTCTCCTACCTCTAACTTAATCGGGAATTAAGTCGAGTTAGGAATCGTAAGGGATCATGTGAATACAAGGTAATCAACAGGTAAACACGAAGCATCGCAATCATAAACAACGTCAAGTATTAAACTCAAATTGATATACAAGAGAAAATATACACAAGTATCGTTAAAGAAAAATTAACAAGCTTGCTCGAGAATTAATCGAGACTAAAATCAAAGTTAAGAATTAGTATGAGGTTAAAAGAGTTAATTAAATTAAAATTGAAATCAAAGGTCTAATCCTATGTTAATTAAAAAAATAATTTCTAAATCTAATTCTAGTATAAAGTTAAATTCTAAGATTAAAACTAATTTTTAAAGTTGAATAATTAAAATCTAAATTAAAATTGAATTCTAAAACTAAAATTGATATCTAACTAGAAAAGAGGAACTAAAGTCTAATTCTAAAATAATTATAATTAAGACTAATCCTAATGTAATTTCTAAACTCAATCTACACTAATACTAAACTAACTACTAATTCTAAAGTTTATCAAAAACTAATCTAATTCTAAATAAAATTCTAGGATTAAACTAATTAGAAAACTCAAAATTAAATCTAAATAATAAAAAAGGGCTCTAAGATAATATGGACCGAGATTAATTAATAAGATCTTAAAATAATAAACTTAAAATTCTAAACAAAATTAGCTCTCAGATTATTACTTAAATAATTAAAACAAAACTTAATAAAAATCAAAATTAACTAACAAACTTAATCTAATAAAAAACAGCAACTGAAAAAAGAGGGGTGAGGAAAAAGGAACTGGACCCCAAGGCCCATTATCAGATTGGGATAGAGGTCTAAACGAACCAGGTCGGGTCAAATGATCCGGTGAGATTCTAAACCTAAATACACGAAGGAAAACAACAGCTGATATGCAATGCCAGTAAAACAAACGACGGAAACACCAACCGAAAGCTTCAAGCGGTTCACTGCTGGAATCCCGTCCGTCTACCGCCGTTTTTCTTCTATTCTTCTTTGGGTCTTGTTTCTCTCTCAAATTCTGTCGATGTCGCGGAGGTGTCGCTACGTCTCCGGAAGGACGTTGTGTCTCGTCAGAAGTAAAGGAAAATCTCCGGAATGTCAAATCTAGCTCAACGACTCAAACTCGCTTATTTTCCTTCCTCATTTCGCTTTCGATTTTGCTTTGTGTTGTTGAGGTAAGGTGATAGTGGTGGTGACCGCTACGAGGGAAATTGGAGTTTGGTTACAATATGAAAGGAGGGAGAAAGTAGACTCGTGTGGCTGTGAAGATTGAACGAGGTGGAGAGGGGAAAAATAGATGAAGAGGTTATTCTGGGTTTAAGGGAGAGGAGGTGTGATCTTTGGAAGACGATGGTTTTGGTAACCTTTTTCGGTGGCTGTTCAGCTCTTCTTTTCAACAGAAAAGAAAATGAAAGAAAAACCCCCCTCCAAATCTGAGTTTTTTTGCTTTTTTTTCTTTGTTGTGCCTCTGATATGGTTCTGAAATTCTGTATTGGGTGTTGTTTTAGAAAGAAAGACAGTGATACCATAAGACCAGGTTCTTTTTGATGATGGTTATGAGTTTTTTTAAGTAGAAAAATCGGGTGAGCAGAGTGTGAAACGAAGGTAGAAATTTTCAATTATGTCTTCTCCCTCTCTTTTTTGTGTCTGCCTGTACATAAGTCAAAACCAGAAGAAAAACTTCCTTGGCCTTATTGTTGCATTTGAAGGGTTTTTGACAGCCTATATGGTGACCGTATGTCGCAGCTGCTGTAACACCCCAAATTTAATTGGAGTATTTTAATTTATTTATTTAATTGAGCATATTCATTTTTTCGGTGATTTTCGGTGATTTTGTGGATTATTGAGAATTGTGCATTTTAGGGTTATTTATTTTGAATAATAGTATGTAATATGAGTTTATTAATATTATTATGAATTAAAATAAATATAAGATGAATAAGGGTAATTGGGACAATTCAGAGGAGTTAGTGAGGGTATTATGGAGAAAGCCCAATTGTGAGGCCCAAGACTAGGTTTAACAAAAAAAATTGGAAAGGGATTAGGATTCATTTGTTAGACCGTGAAAAGTATTGAGGCCAGAGTTCTGAGGAGAGGATTGGAGGCAGAAACTTCGAGAGATTCCCTGAATGATTTGTGAAGACTTTGAATCGACGATTAAGGTATGGGGAGTATTACCTTCATGATTTTCCATGTGTGACTTTCAATGTATTTAAGGTCGATTTAAGGTTTAAGGGATTTTGAGGGTGGATATGAGAATTAGTGATCTTTGGCCTTCGTAGCCTAAATCTGTTATTGTGAATCTAACCGGGGAATTCATTGGGGAAAAGAAAAAGTTAGGTCTTCGTGGCCAAAACCATGAATTATTATTTGTCTAACCCTAAAGGGATAGGAATATTAGATAATGAGTAACTCTAATTCCTTGGGATAATTGTAGAGAAATTTTTTATTTATGGCGTGAATATGATAGGGGATTGGCCTAATAAACTATAGGTTTTATGCCTTTATCATCGTAAGACCTTAGGGATGATTTAGGGATGTTTTTGGGGCATTGGGAAAGTGAACCGTGTGGATATTTTGGTGGATTTAGGTTCTGGTGCATAGCAGAATTTGCTGTTATCGCACTGTTCGCCTAGCGAACCATGTTGTTCCCAAACTCGCATATCAAAGAATCCTTCGCCTAGAGAAGAAACTCGCCCCAGACTGGCCTAGCAAACATGCCAGCGAACGTAGCAGAGTTTCGCGAATGTTGATCGTGTGCAGCGATGCCTTGATGTTTGATTCTGTGATTTCTTTGACGAATTAGCATGAGTATGACTGTGAGTTTTATGTGATATGTACATGATTACATGATGATTTCTATGATGTATTGATTGGGAAACTATGATGATATTACCATGACTTTGATGAGTTATACGATGATATGAGATATGATGATGATTGTGATGATGATGAATATGATGAATGATGATGCACCATGCTTTTATTATGAGGATGATTATTGACGTGTGCATCATGCATTCATGTGCATCCGGACTTCGGTTCTGGACTTCAATTACTTTGGCTTCAATCCCATTGTGCGGATGTGAAGTGTTTTGATGTGCTCCGGTTCTCAAGTAGAATCGATCCTATTGGTGGGGATTTATGGCCCAGTGTCCATCGCGCTGTGATGATTGGTACCACATGCATTGAGTGTTGTTACATTTGCATTTATGAGTCATTTGTAATAATTTATAATGTTGTGGCCTTTGAGGCCTATTGAAGGATATCAATGTGTTGAATATGAATATGACGCCGTTTTATATGTTAATTTTTATACATTGATTATTATGAATTGTTTTACTCACCCTGTCTGTTTGAATGTTACCTCCATGTGGGTAACATGCAGATGACCAGGTTTAGCCGTGGACGTCGTCAAGGATATTTGAAGTCTTTGAGTTGTTAGCCTTTTAGTTAACTTAGAGGGTCTTGCTCTGATATGTAATATTAGGTTGGGTTCTTTTGAGTTAAATTATGT